GCGGCAGGAGGCGCGGCCGCGGCTCCCGCACATCAGTGCGGGCGTCCCCCGGCGCGTCTGCCCCGTGCCCACACGCCCACAGGCCCCGGCAGGCCCACCGCGCCGCGTCGGCCCCGGCGGATGGCTATCACTCATCGAACCATGGCGGCCCGATATTGGACCATTCTACATGGGGGGGGGGGGGGGCGCGCCCAGCTCCCATACGCGCACATTCGCACCGCTGCACATGTGCTTCCCCGGCCGTCCCCCCGCCCGGCCGCCCGCGCGCGGAGATAAGGGGGCGGCCGGCGGCGAGGGGGGGGGGGACGCAGGCGTCCGGCCGTGATCGGGCTCGCTGCATTCCCCGGCGGCCGCGATCGGGACGGAATGCGCGCCGGGCCCGGGCGAATGCGTAAGGGCGCATCGCCCCTCGCCACGGCCGGCATCCCGGACGAGGCAGGCACCCCCGCTGCCGGGGGGCCTCGCCTGCCTACCCGCCGCGCCTGCCACCTTCGGCGAGGGGCCCGGCCGGGGGTAACCGGTGGTCGGCGGCCGCCGGGCGGCAGCGAGTGGCCACCTCGCCGATGGCGGCGTGATGGCCGGCGCCCGGCCCGGGACACGCGATCTCCCCTCCGGCCCGCGAGGCATGGCCGCGGCGGCCGCCCTGCGCGGGCCGGTGCCGGGGGGCCACCGGGGAGACAGGACACATCCCGGGCCTGGAAAGCCGGGTACCCGGTGGGAAATAGGCGTGCGGACGCGCTGTGCCCCCTCCCCTTGGTGGCGCCGGCAGCCCAGCCGCGCCCGGGGCCCCGCGCCCGGAGCGGCCCGCACCCGCACCCACACCCGCCGCCCCCCCCCCATCGCCCGGGCCGGCGGCGGAAAGGGAGCCCATTAATCGCATGCCAGGCGCCCGCGAGCCGGGAGCGGCCATTCCGGGCGCCCGGCATGCCGGCCGGCTGCCGCCGCCTCCCCCGGTCGGCCGGCTGGTGCGCCGCCTTCAGCGCGAGGGGCTGAACATTGTGCGGCGCTGGTCGCCGACGCCGGTCGTTTTCGCCGCAGCCCCGGGGCCTCGGTCGTCCAGGGGTGCCGAGCGAGGGGCCGGCCTTGCTCCGTGCCCCGGGCCCCGCGCGCCCTCCGCCGCTCCGGTGAGGAGGCGAAGGAAGCGCCCTCCCGCGCGGCCCGGCAAGGGCGGCCCGGCGCCCCCGGGCCCCGGGGCCGCCTCGCATGTGAGAGAGGCCCTCCGCCGCCGGGCCGCCGCCCCCGGGGGCAAGGTGTCGCACACCATGGGGCGCCGGATCTCGCGGCCCGCCCGCCGGCCGTCCCCCCCCCCGGGGGGAGGAGGGAGGGGGTGCGGGGCAGCAGACACTCCCGCCGGGGGGGGGGGGGGGGACCCATGGCGGCGGCACGATTGCCCGCCACCCTCGGCCGGGCCGGCGGCCATCCGGCACCAGGGCGATCGCCCCGGGCCCGGACCGGCCGAAGGCCCGCGCCGGAGCCCGACGGCCCCCGAGGCGGGGCCCAGCAGGTGCCGGCCCAGCGCCTGCTCGGCCCGGGCAGCACCCGGCCCCAGCGCGCGCAGCCCCGACGCCGGCGGCCCGCGCGGAGATAGCATCCGAGATAGCGGGGGATGATGCGGGCGGGATTTTTTTCCCGATCCCCGCCAGTTGCTCCGGCGGCCGGGTCGCGCGCGCGCGCGCGCGCGCCTGAAAGCCCCGCTCGCCGGCAGCCTGACGCCGGCCGCACTCGAAAGTCATTCCGGGACGGGCAGGTTGGCAACAGGGGCGCCCCCGAGCACCGGCGCCTGCTGCCCGGGGGGGGG